AATATATATAGGAAAATTCTTTAAAAATCATCTTCTCAAGAATAAGAAAGCCATGATTGATCATATTTATATGGAAGCATCCTCAGGTGGTATAGATTCAAGTTTGTTTAAATCATGAGCCCCCGGGGTAGGGCGGGGCCACAATGGCCGGCCAAAGTTTTACATAGAAATATATAGGAAAATTCTTCAAAAATCATCTTCTCAAAAATAACAAAGCCATAATTGATCATATTTATATGGAAGCATCCTCAGGTAGTGTAGATTCAAGTTTGTTCAAATCATGACCCCCGGGGGTAGAGTGAGGCCACAATGGCCGACCAAAGTTTTACATAGAAATATATAGGAAAATCTTTAAAAATCATTTTCTCAAGAATAGCAAAACCATAACTGGTCAAAGGTTTACTTTTGAATTTAAACTTTTCAATAATAAACCAATTTCTACTTTTTTCCTAGCCACAGTGCTCAGGTGAGCGATGTGGCCCATGGGCCTCTTGTTTTGTTTTACTGGCAGCTAGTACATTAAAATGTCCTAATCAATTTATTTTTCTAAACAATGAATTTCATGGTTTAAAATACATTTAAAAATTGTAAATAAGATTTATTCCTGATGAAAAATGACCAGAGTTATGAATTCAAAGTTATAGAACTGAATTGAGATTAGAGCATTTTAAAAATTGATAGTGTATTAATCTTACCAGATAGGGTTTTAATATACATGTATTGATCAATATTCAGATAGATGGAGCAGTTACATGTACAACATAATGCCAGCTTGTGTAAGTCATGCAATTCCATTAGCCCTGGCCAGTAAATTAAAGCAGACCTCATGTTAATGACAGATAATTAATGTGACGATTGTCTGACCAATGGATAATTGATGACATTTTTTAAACATTTTCAAAGTGCATTAAGTGTAGAATAGATATTTGCACAATTAATATAGGAATTAGTGTATATAAATGATAAATGATTTTATTCCAACATTTTCTCTGTAAGGATGTATAATTGTGTGAGTACTATATACAGCTCACAGTCTTCAAAATATCTGTCTACAAGAGCAGGTGGTGTTGGTAGATAATTAGGGCCCTGCAAGAATTTGCGGGTGCCCTATAGTAATCACTCTGTCTGTCCGTCTGTCCGTCTGTCATTCTTCCGTCCACAAATTTTCTGTTTTTTCCAAATAACTTTTTTTATGGTTGCCCAATTAAGTTCAAATTTGGTATGATAGTTCAGTAGGCAGAAAGCTCTATGTCCCCTGGTTTGGAGCTGGGGTGGTGGGGTATATTCCTTAACTTTATATAAGAATGCTTTGGCAAAGAGAGATAACTGCTAAAGATGTTTCCATTGTAAACTGAATGCTGCTATGAGTCCCTTGGGATTAATTAGCTTTCCTCCTGAAGAAAATCCAAAGCATTATCTTTATCTGTCACATAGAGATTAATTACCACCCCTGTCTGCAAATGAAGTTTGTTTTGAAGTTCAGTCAATTTGGAATGCTATGAACTGAAATGTGGATTTAGATATAAATGTTTATACTTTATTTTTGTTAAAATACCCTACACAATGAATTATGATTTCATTGAATTCTAAAAACAAGAAATAGATTAAAGAAGACATATTTTTTATTTTTATTTTTTTTCCCTTTATATGAATTCAAGAATAATATTAATTTTTAAGGTACCGGGTAGATGGATAAAAAAAACCATTCTAATAATACTGAAAAAGTTCTTACTGTAGCTTCAGAAGAAAATGATGAATGAAGTACAATTAATCCCTTGGGATTAATTATCTAGCCTGCTGAAGAAAATTTAGTAGGCCTATCTTTATCTGTCATTTTAAGGTCAGACGAGACGTTCCTCAAAATCTGTTTTGTATATCTTCATAATGTATGAAAAATATCCAATATTTTCATAACATTCTGATTTCTAAACCAGTTTCTAGACGTTTTTAAAAAATCCAAACACTTAAACACTTGAAATTGGAAAATTATTTTTCTTCCCCAAAGGATTATATAAGAAAAACTACCCCTGGTATCTTGCAGAAATGCCTGGTAAGGTCCCTCAATTTTTTGTGAGTAAACATGTTTAAGTAGTAACACTTCAATGACAAACTCTTAGAAAAATTTATCTATTATTAAGGAACGTCTCGTCTGTCCTTAAGATTAATGAAAACCTTTGTCTGCAACTGCTGTTTGTTTTGAAGTTAAGGTCAAGCCTTCATGATACATGTATTTGCATTCACTGAAGACTGGCATTTTATATAACACTAACACAAACTTCATTATTGTTTATATATACATTCAATGTTAGGTTGCTCTTTACTACTTAATGTAAATATATAAGGATATTATTTACAGGTTTTTGGATATTCAGGAATTATGTTGAAAATTTTAAGAATACAGTTGCTGTTGCTTATTTCTTCATATATTTTTTAATCATTCCGTAAGCTGCATCCTTATAATTCTACCCCATGGCGGGGCCCTTGCTGACTGGTCAGTTTTCTAGTTAAATCTTCATTGGCTGCTTGACTGTGTACTGTGTTATAATGTACAGAAGTTCTGGAGGTTACGGAATCGATACAAGTCATGGCATCCTTGTAATGTGTGGTAATGTGATAAATTACTATCTGACCAGGGAGAGTGAGAGAGGAAAGAAGTTGTTTTTAATTCTGTATATAAGGTATATATCAGAGGGAAAAAAATGACTATCGCATGTGCTAAAAAATGAAAAGTTGAATTATGTGAATTATGTACATGTAGTAATCCATGAACTGAATCACATTTCTCTTAACTAGAAACAAATTTTTTGTAAAACAACAATGCGGAACTTGTGATATGCTTATGGTAAATTATTTGGTAAATATTTGAGGTACTTGAACATTCATTGAATTAAAATGAAAGTGGTTCAGGTTAACACAGTGTATGCTTGTAATGCTTGTAATGCATACATTCATTTATATAAAATTAACAACTTTTTATGCGTCTATTAAAAATGTATGGAGTAATGTCATTTGTTCTTATAAATATGGAATTTGTGTGTGTTTTAGTGCACATGTATTCAGTACTTAATGAAGTGGGATGTTATAATTTTTATGATCTTAGTTATTTATTTTTATTTTGACAGGAAGTAGTCCCCATGACAGTCCCAGGAATATGTCGCCTAGTCAACACGGCAACTTCCTGTTCCAGAATGTCAGGAAGTATGAAAAATATTCTATAGAGTATGTCACAGATCTCATTCCCCCAAAACTTGTCAACTGTATAAAAATATTGAATCTCTGAGAGAATTACAACATTTAATAAATCAAATATTTATAGTGTCAATTATAGCTGCAGCTTGAATTATTGTTTCTTCAACAAATTTCATTCAAAGATCCCATTTTATGCTTAATTCCTTATTCTATGCAAGTACTTTAAAACTTGAATTGCCTAATTGTGAGATTTGGAGTATGTGATTGGAGTGTTTATCTAGACTTCTGTAACATAATGTAATATAATTCATGCATGGTGCTTCATGGTGCTTCATGATAAAACTACATGATGACCAGTTCGTCATGTATATTTAGGAATCTAACACTACTGAATATTTGCCGTTTATACTCTATCTAAAATTACTCTGATTAGCATCAAGAGTAAGGGAAGGGTGTAGGCGAAGCTTTAGAGAAATTTTCCCCAAGATCATTCTAGTAATAGGAAGAACTACAGACATACATATATTATCCTTTTCTCCACAGGTGCGATGGAAGACGGTGGTCCTTTGCTTCCCTGCCTTCCTCGGGTTACGGAACAAATACTCCAGGCAGCTCTAATGTTTCGGTAATCCCAAAAGCTCCATATCACACACACTTAATCTACTTCTCTTTGTAGTTTAAGTTTTCAAAATAGAAAAAAATAGATTTATTATATGGAGATGAAAAATATTTGTCAAGAAAAGAATGTAACACCTTTCTTTACACAGAAAAAGAAAATTTTCTTATCTCAAGCCACTCAAAATTGTAAAAAAAAAATGTAATACCTATGGTCAATATTAGACACCTCATCAATTCTATATTGTATTTGTTGGTATAGTCTCAATACTCATCACAAGAACGTCTTCACCAGTACCAGCCACCCCAGGAGGAGTACACCCTCAGTGGGAATGAGGGGGACGAGGAGGGCAGGAAATCCCCCCTGTCCCCCCTCCTACGACCCAGGTCCCGAAGTCTCAGGTGAGGGTTTTTGATTGGTAGATCTCACCTCACCCAAAACTCTACTTCTTGTTGCTGTTTTGTTGTTGTTACAATAATAATTGCTTGCAGAACATTATTTAATATTAAGTTTTTGGCCGGGTTGCAAAGAAAAATCCAATTTATAGGTAGATGGTGACTTTCCCTCTATCCTCACCAATAAATTTGATTAGATGTTTAGTTTATTGCTTTTTGGAGACTTGGTGGTAATGGATTATTTAAACTTAATTGATTGGGTGGTTATCGTAATTCTTGGTTAGATGTTTGATGACCCTGACCTGATGACCCCATCCTGATGATTCTGACCTTTAATGACCCTGACCTTTGATGACCCTGTCCTGATGATCCCATCTTTATGACCTTGAACCTTTAATGAACAAGTGAATAAAAATACTAAGTTTCATCTCTTAATTTTCCTCCCATTTAGTTATCACAACCTTAATGCAATCCGGCCGTGCTATCTTCATCAATTTCTTGATTTGAAAACATAATATTGAGGACTTGTTGCTATTTGGAATTGAGGAAATTTTTTTAACTATTCAAAAAGGTTGATTTTGAATTTATTTTTTTTTTATTTAAGTTAGTTGAGTTTGAATTTAAGTTTATGGTCAATAGTGAAAGTAATATTGATCAGCTTAAAGCTATAGTTTGTGTGTGAAACTGTAGGTTCTCCTCATTTTTGTCTCGCCTGCGACGAATGTCGCGAAGCGAGACATAGCGACCATAGATTCCGTCGTCGTCGTCGTCGGCGTCCAACTTTTGGTTAACCCAAATGTCAAAGTTTTATAAACTGCAATAACTTTCTCAAATTTTATTCAGTCTTCTTGAAATTTGGACACAATATTCAGTATGGATAAAAATTTATATCCCAAGTATGATTTTGAAAAAAAAAATTCAAATTTTTCCGTATTTTTTCCTTAAGTTGGACTTAGTTTTTTCATGATAATTTATGGTGAAGACCTATATTCCAGCAACTATAAGTTATAGGGATATGATAATTAGTCAGTGGATACATCATGGGTAACCACAAACGTCAGTACCAGAATTAGGTCATCTTGACCTACATTTTTCTGCATGAGTGACTTTGGTTAAATTTTTGGTGGAGGTCCATATCTCAGCATCTATAACTTATAATGGCATGATGATTTGTCATTGTACAGGTTATAAGTAACCAACAACATCAGTACCAGAATTAGGTCATTTTGACCTACATTTTTCTGCATGAATGACTTTGGTTAAATTGATAATGGAGGTTCATATTTCAGCAACTATAACTTATAGTGGCATGATAGTTAGTCAGTGGATACATCATGGGTAACCACAAACGCCTGTACCAGAATTAGGTCATCTTGACCTACATTTTTCCGCATGAGTGACTTTGCATAAATTTATGGTGGAGGTCCATATCTCAGCAACTATAACTTATAGTGGCATGATAATTTGTCAGTGGATACATCATGGGTAACCACAAACGCCTGTACCAGAATTAGGTCATCTTGACCTACATTTTTCCGCATGAGTGACTTTGCATAAATTTATGGTGGAGGTCCATATCTCAGCAACTATAACTTATAGTGGCATGATAATTTGTCAGTCTACACATCATGGGTAACCAACAATATCAGTACCATAATTAGGTAATCTTCACCTACATTTTCTGCATGAATGACTTGATACATATACAGTGGATTTGATTTCAAAATGCAAGTTCAAATTATTGCGACTCATAACACGTTGCAATATTCGCAATAATAAAAACATCACAATAATTTGTGAATTTACAGGGTATATGTATATATATATAAATGCCAATATAATCGCCAAGGGATTAGATATTAAGTCAGCTGTTCCATTTCTTTATTATTGTATTTTTGAGTTATTCCTTCTGAAATGTCAATAAATGCTTCAGTTTATCAGACAATCATTTCTTACTAACCACAGCGACAGCAGGCGAGACACAGGGTTGCGGGCAACCCTTACGTACTTTTACTCTCTCAGCTTTGATATATGTACAGATATATTATAAGGGCTTTTGTTTTAATAATGTACAATCAGAATTATTAGAAGGAGAAAATATAAACAAGATAAAGTCATAGAATTTAGATCACATTATTTATTCCAGAGTTCAGTCTTATTTTAGTATATGACTAATTTTAATTTCCTGCTTTAACGGATAGCTTATCCTGGCTTGCACTTGAGTAAGAGTTTCTACAACAACCTTTTTTTGATTTGTGTATTGTTTATAAGAAATATGTCTGTAGTTTGCTGTACACTTGGTACATCCTGTTAATGCTATTTGTGTAAACACCATGCAGTGCTATTTGTTAGTTTGTTATAACTCGCTTCAGTATTCATAGATCTTTTGCTTCATGAAAATGACATTTCCTTTTATTTGAAGTCATATTTTAGCATTGCTAAACTTTTTTTTTTTTTTTTTTTTTTTATACACATCTTGCCCAATTTTTGCATGCGTCATATGCAAGAAATTCTATAAATCATATAAAACTAAAAATCAACAGCAAACTCATTATAACAAATTGAAGAACAACAAATAAAAGTAGAAAAAAGAATTATTAGTTATGTATATATACAGTGTATAAATATTTTTTGTAATTTTTTTTCAAAATTAAATTTTCTTTTTTTTTATTTAATATTCAAAAGTAGATTAATAGTACATTATCAGGGCTAGAGTGAATCAGCTCAAGAAATGATTTCATTTTATCAAAAAAGATTATTCAGTATGTTTGATATAATGCTTTTATGCATTATGGAGACGTGAATCTTTTTATAAATTTATGTACTATGTACAAGTAACTAAAATTGTGAAAACTGGCCATATTTTATCCAGTATTGAACATATTAACTCCATATGATAGTGAACAGAATTTATAACCCTTGCATGAGAAAAAAGATCTGTAATAGCTCTTTAAGAAAAATATAAGCTATGTATTAAAAACATGTATATGATGTATGTTCACAAATATTGTGTATTTTTTCTTCCAAATTATATGACTATAATCTGTATATCTGTCTTTTAAACAGTTTAAACTATATCCAAGAGTTCAGAATAATTATAACACATGTAAATAATTTCTACACATAATACATTTGAAAAATAAATGTAGTAGCTTCTGCTTTTTATGTTTTAATTTTTTTTAAAAATTCAATATTAAATGAAATTCTAAATGTATTTAAGGATAAAATTTTGTTTTGTTAATTGAAGCAATATTTGATTTGTTTATTTGTAAAGAAGCACTATTTATATTTAGAGGACATTATATATTGATATTAGTCCTTTTTTCCAATAACTCAATGTATTTTCTGTTTATGTAGTAGTCCAATGGTTTCTCCTGGTGGGGACGAGATTGTCATGATGAACAGTGTTTATAAGGAACGATTTCCCAAGGTATGCACCAGTTACCTCCCTTTTACAGATAATTGTGCTTAAAGCTGAATACGATTCATAAAAGGAATGTGTCCACCATTTTTGTTCGGAGAATCGCTATACCTGCAGACCCCTATATAAAGGGCAGGACTATCTCACTGCTCAGTGTAATCAGTCGACACCGGTGTACACGAACATATGCTATACAGCATGCGATAGTGAAAATAAAACATAATGCTTCGTCTGATGCAGGAAAGTAAGATACCAAAGAAACTTACAATTATAGTTGTACAGGTCAGTGCAGTATACAAACAAACACAGTTACACGTAACTGTGATGAAATGTAAATTAAGGTAATACAAGATAACCAGCATGAACAAGGGTCACCATTCCACGCCAATACCCGTGATATTTAAGTAGTCAGGTGTGACGAATCTGATTAGTATACCCTGGTGCTGATGTATCATAGATAATGATATCTAAAATGGCGTATGCCTATTTACGAGTCGTGTTCAGCTTTAATAAAGAGGAAAGGAAATAGTTATACCTTCCTTTACAAAAACTTTATTAACAATGTATTTTCTGTCATCAAACAAATGTCATTATTCAAAATAAGGCTAAAGTAACCAGGCACATGTTTCTTTCCTTTTTATCCCATCTTTCCTACATAAACAGCAAATAAATTCATTGAAAATAATTTCTTTGACTGCATGATAACTTTTGTGATTTTGGTAGGCCACATACTGCCCAGAATCTCTATAGTAAATACCCTTCTGATGTTATATGTTTTTATTTTGCATTAGGCCACGGCTCAGATGGAGGAGAAGCTGAAGAAGTTTTTAGAGCAGAACAAGCTGGAGGAGGTGGACTGTGATGCCATTACACGGTTCCTGCACCACCAGGTGATGGAACTTGCTCGCGACTGTCTCCAGAAATCACAGGACAAACAGATCACAGGGACCTACTTCTTCGAGCTCTCAGAGAAACTAGAGAAACTACTCATTGATGTGAGTGCTACCCACTATGGTAGATTTTAGTGATTTTTCAACAAGGATAGGGTACTCTGGCTAAAGCTTGCTTTTGAAGACAGTGATAGTAGTATTGTTTGTTAATTTATGAAGTTTTTTTTTATGTTTGAAGGCACAAGAAAGAGAAGATATTGCTTACGAGTTTCTGTACCCAGTCATCAAGAACCTGTATTTGATCATCTCTAGACCCTCAAGATTACTGGAGTGTTTGGTAAGTAATACAGATAACACAGAAATATGAGCAAGTAACACATCTTGTTCAAGAACTGAATTATTAATGCAACAAGAGAATTTTTAATAAATCAAGATCCTAATTTGTTGTTAAAAGTCTGTTAAGTGAACTATAATTTTCCTTAATGGACTCTGCTGTATTTGTAGGAGTTTGATCCGGAGAAGTTTTATCAGCTTCTGGAGGTGGCAGAGGGACAGGCCAAAGAACACATGAAACGTGACATTCCGCAATATATCATCAGTAAACTAGGCCTCAACAGGGACCCACTGGAAGGTCCGACACACAGAATTTTGTCTATCATAAAACTCTTGTTCACTTTTTTTTTCTTGATTGCTTTTATTTTATTTGAAATTAATGGCATTTAATTTTTTTCCCCATTAAATATATACAGGTTTATTGCTATTGCATTTAATTGTGACAGTCGTTTTTACGTTACAGACCTCACTGATGGTGATACTGCTAGCTCAGAGCTGGATTCCTCCATTACAGAAGAAATTACACAGGTAAATCGTCATGTTTCATGCGAATATAATCCTGTTTGGGTTTTTCATCAATGATTGAATTTAATATAAAAAATTGATATTTTTTAGAAACGACGGATATACAAATTCCACACTCCTGTTGAGGAAGACTTTGAACTAATTAAATTAATCAGCAATGGAGCTTATGCGTAAGTTATTAAAGATGTTATCAACATAGGATAATCACTTAAATTGGATTCATAGCAAAAAAAATAATTACGGTATTTAAAAAAAATTATATTTAGATGTGGATATTTTTGTAGAAAGTGTTTTTACAGATGTATTCATTATATGAAGCTTTAGCAATCAATTTTTAATTATAAATGTGTTTTCCTGTTTAGTGCTGTTTATCTTGTACGCCATAAAGAATCTCGACAAAGATTTGCAATGAAGAAGATATGTAAGCAGAATTTAATACTACGCAATCAGACGGAGCAAGTCTTTACAGAAAGGGACATTCTAAGCTTCACAGAAAACCCATTTGTTGTCAGCATGTATTGCAGCTTTGAAACCAAGGTAGGTTTGAAAATCAGACTACATGTGCATATTTATATTAAAGTGCAGCAAAAATAGAAATGAAAAAATGAGGAGTATGTTTGGCTTTACTCAAGGTGAGGGCGAATGCAATTTTTTTCATTCATCAGGTCAAGTTAAGAAATGAGAAATTTTTTATGTAGTGATTGTTATTACTAGCTGCAATTACACAGCCTTTTTCGATTTTTTTAATCCGATATTTTCTGGAGAGGTCTCCCCCAATAAAGGAGAGGGCTTCATTATGCAGCTAGTTATTACAGGCAATGATTTTATCGTGTTTCTCTGTAGCGCCATCTATGTATGGTTATGGAGTACGTAGAGGGAGGCGACTGCGCCACGCTGATCCATAAGGCTGGTCCCCTACCTTTTGATTTGGCCAGGTAAGTACAGGATATATCTGAATAGTAATAATTACATTTTACATAAAAAAAGGCAAAATGAAAACAAAATTGAAAGCATTTTGTGATTACTATAGTTTGCAGTTAAGTGTAAAGTTTTGCGTTATGACACAATCTTTAGCGTCAGGTGCATCCAGCGTAAACAATTCACGTTATTGGTTAACTCAAATTATCAACATTGACATGGAAATAGTCTTTTGCACGAGCAACCAATCAGAGATAAGAAGAAAGTTCCAGTCATTAAGCTTGCGGTTAGGAGGCGTGTACAATTTACCTTGAGCACAGCTGTCAACTAGATCGTGACGTAATGTAAAACTTTACACTGAACTGCAAACTATAATAAGAAATTCATTGGCAATTGTTATATGGACATAATTATGTCTTAATGTTATTTTTGATGATGGAATTTGGTACATATAGTAAGTAAGATTAATGGGAGATAATTTATATATATTTAAGGATGTATTTTGCGGAGACAGTGTTGGCGTTGGAATATCTCCACAGCTATGGAATTGTTCATCGTGATCTCAAACCTGATAAGTGAGTTAAAACATCACTATATTACTTCACATGTTTAATTCCTGTGAAAAAGGCATTGAATGATCTTTATAATAAGTGTATAATTTGATTTGGGTGATGGAATTTTTCTAATCTCTGATTTTTTTTTTTGTAGTCTCTTAATAACTGCCACTGGCCACATTAAACTCACAGATTTTGGGCTTTCAAAAATAGGACTCATGAGTTGTAAGTATACTTAGAAATATATATTACACTGTTGAGGAAAAACATTGAATCATTTTCTACCCAACAGAATGTCTGCCACTCATGATGAACAATATGTTGTATTATATATGTTTTTGGTATTTCCAGTGACAACAAACCTGTACGAGGGTACGTTAGAACAGGACTGTAAGGAATTCAGTGATAAACAAGTGATTGGTACTCCAGAGTACATCGCACCCGAGGTCATACTCAGAAAGGGATATGGTAAACATTACTTAGTCTGAGAGTATCTTGATAGTTGAAGTTACAAAATGAACGATGTAATGTACTGTCTAACCTTTCACATCCTTGTTCATTTCAGGAAAGCCTGTGGACTGGTGGTCGATGGGAATCATTCTGTATGAATTTCTTGTTGGCTGTCCTCCATTTTTTGGAAGCACCTCCGAGGAGTTATTTTCTCAAGTTATTAATGGTAATTTGCTTTGTCTAAAATGAAATATAGTTGCATTGTGGCATCTTGTACACTGATATCTTGAATATCATGGATATGTCAAAGTATTTTATGTTCTTTATCTCAAATCCTTTGAAATCTTGTTTTTCTCTCAGTTCCTTTGAGTTTGATAATCAGGTTTTGCTGCATATGTAACTAATGGGCAAAGGGAGACAACTCTCAGTATTTTTCTGACCTGTTTACAGAGGACCTGGAGTGGCCAGAGGAAGAAGAATGGCAGGTGAGAGACGACGCCCGCGACCTGATCACCCAGCTGTTACAGCACAATCCTATAAATAGACTGGGTACCGGCGGGGCTCAGGAGGTCAAGGAACACATTTTCTTTATGAACCTAGACTGGGCGGGGCTATTGAGACAGAAAGCTGAGTTCATCCCAGAGTTAGAAAGTGAAGAGGACACTAGTTACTTTGAAAGTAAGTCCAGAAAATGGGGCAATGGCCCTGTGATTTTATAAACTTACTTCTAAAGTTTACTACTTTACTTTATGCAGGTGGCAAGGAACAATTTTATGTTCCCAGATGTTTACTTTATTTAATATGATTGCTGAATACATAAACTCCATCATTTCCTGGTTATATATTAGAGTATGTGTGTATATATTGATGTTGGATCATTCGCTGTTGTAGCTCGTTCAGAGAGATACAATCATGACATTGAGACGGAGGACACAGAGGATGACACGGAGGATCCATTGTTTCAGAGCTTTGCCTCCTCCTCCCCGCGGTTCTACTACAAAATAGACGAAATGAACGAGGTCAGTCACCTCAGACACAGACACATGTAGTCTGTATCTTAAACATATGTGTTTCTGGACGTCCTCTTTTTGAAAATAAATTTCATATCGATGATTTTATTACTTTGATTCATTTGATATGCTTGTTAGAATATATGACGCCTCTTGGTTTTAAAAGGTAGAATAACTTTGTAAAGTGATCTTTGTAAAGTTTTGCAAAATTTTTAGAACATTTGTGGAGTATATTTAGTAAACTTTTATCTTAAACAGAGCAAAGATAAAGATGACAGAAGAAGGCATTCCAGTGCTGATGAAATGAGAAGACACTCAAGCGCTGATGAAATGAGGACACAGCTACTGCAGAAACAGGCGCTGGAGAGAAAAGACTCGAACCAGTCGGAGAGTTCTGACACATCACTAGAACTACAGCAGCTGATGAAGAAGGAGATCAGTAGCGTGGACTCCACAGACACGTGTAAAGCTCATGACAGCAGTGGAACAAAGGACGAAGAAGTCTTCTCCTCACCTCCAGAACAGTGAGTAGAACTGTGACAAATCTCCAATGTCATCGTCCACCTTTTGTCTTATACAAATGATCTTTTTGTAGAGTAAAAGAAAACTCTATATCAAAAATTTATATTAAAAAGTTGATGTATTTTAACATACATGTGCATTTAAACTATATAGTAAATAATTTGATTTTACTTTTAACAAGCCATTTGATTGGATAAAAGGTTTTATCCATTTTGTATAACATAACTTGCCTACGTCACAATGAGTTACGTCAAAAAACGTATTACTCTGCTTGACGTTACTTTTGAAATTTAATCAATGTGAAGCCTTCTTCTGGGGGGAAAATTGTCTCATTGTCTGCAGTGAAATTAAATTATAAGGAATGAAGCTTATTTCAACTTATATTATACGATATAACAAAACTTGGGGCAGTTTACGCTTTTTTATAAACCGCTTTGCGGTTTATAAAGCGTAAACTGCCCCAAGTTATGTTATATCGTATAACATAAGTTGAATTAAGCTTCATTCCTTAATTCAGCTAGCAACAATCTTTTAATAATGAATAAGTTAAATGTTACATTTTTTGTTTGTTTTGTTCACTTATTATCTCTTTTTATTTTGTCTTTCTGAATTTATAATCTTTATTGAAACTAATTTTGAAAGAAGAATATTTTTTTTTTCCTATTACAGTACACCTCCAAGAAAGAGCACATTGGCAATTTTCTTCAGTACACCACCAAAGAGTCAGATTCCTAACACAAGCACCCCGGAGACTCCGAAACCCACCCACCGCCACCCCACCACCAGTACCCCGGAAAGTTCAGACAACAGCGACGACGCCAGGAAAATCTCCAAACGGGAAATCCTTCCACCCCCAATAAAAAGCATCATCCCTAAACTGGCCATCTCTTCTGATGAAGACAAGGACAAAGGTCAAGGGGTTAAAGGTCAGGAGAACACGCAAGTCCTCTGTACTGTTTTCATTATAAAACTTTTATGATTATATTCAGAAAAAGATTATTTACACTCATGTCGATTTATTTGCAGAGTTATCTCCTGTTGATGAAAAGAAAGAAAGGGACATAGAATCCAGTTCACTCAGTAGAAAAGTCCTACAGAAATCTGCCTCAACAACAGCACTGACACTCCTCATCCAGCCAACAGGTAATAACACTAACAACAGCACTGACACTCCTCATCCAGCCCACAGGTAATAACACTAACAACAGCACTGACACTCCTCATCCAGCCCACAGGTAATAACACTAACAACAGCACTGACACTCCTCATTCAGCCAACAGGTAATAACACTAACAACAGCACTGACACTCCTCATCCAGCCCACAGGTAATAACACTAACAACAGCACTGACACTCCTCATCCAGCCCACAGGTAATAACACTAACAACAGCACTGACACTCCTCATCCAGCCAACAGGTAATAACACTAACAACAGCACTGACACTCCTCATTCAGCCAACAGGTAATAACACTAACAACAGCACTGACACACCTCATCCAGCCCACAGGTAATAACACTAACAACAGCACTGACACTCCTCATCCAGCCCACAGGTAATAACACTAACAACAGCACTGACACTCCTCATTCAGCCAACAGGTAATAACACTAACAACAGCACTGGGCACTCCTCATTCAGCCAACAGGTAAAAATACTAACAACAGCACTGACACTCCTCATCCAGCCAACAGGTAATAGCACTAACAACAGCACTGACACTCCTCATTCAGCCAACAGGTAAAAACACTAACAACATTATTTTACCAACCAGTAAATTTACTTACCTCCAGCTCCTTATACAATCACCCAGTCACAGCTATCACTTGTACAAATTCCCAGAAACTGTACTATTACTCCATTCAAACCACCAAGTAACTCTACCTACGCTCCATCATATGCTGTGAAACTCAAAAACTAGGTAGACCTCTACATGAACTGAAAGTGCATTCATTTCACAATCTCTTTGAATGTGCATAACAATTAGTTCCTTGGTTGTTGGTATCTTTATATCTTGATTTAAAAGGATTATCTCCCATTTACAGATGAGTTTATAGCGAAGCCCATGCTGTCTCCCGGAGGGTCAAGCACCAGTTCCAGAGATGGCTCACCCTCCAGGGATGTCTCACCTCTAGTCAAGTCTCTCAACCCTCCCATCATCATTAGGAGGGGCCCACGGGGCTATGGATTCACACTCAAAACCATCCGAGTGTATCAGGGCGAGACCGACGCTTATACATTACAACACGTGGTTGTGGTAGGTGGCTTTTTAAAGATTGTGAAGAGTACTGTAAACCAACTTTTATTAGTGACTTTATTTTGCGATTTACTGTGGGTACTGTGAAATCACAAATTTTCGTGGGGGTTTAATTTTTGTTGTTTTCGTGGTATAAAGAGACCCATGAATTCATGTCCACCACGAAATATAAAATGTTACATACCTAACTACTCAACAATTCTTCATCCAAGAATTCAAATCCCCACGAACCAAGGGTTATTACTTCAACCACGAAAAGTTGACACCAGGAAAACATGATTTTACAGTAAATTAAATTTTCTCAATTAAGCCGTTTTGGGTATATTGTTTTTATATAGTCACAGAGACTTTTTAATAGGACTGTTTACAACGAAAAATTTTCGCAGTGATGAGGCTCTCGTGATGACCCTTGTAAAAATTTCTTACTTATTTTGTAATTGATGCAGATACTGTATTGAAAGAGTCTAAATTGTATATGTAAAATTGTAGGCAGTAGAGCAAAACAGTCCAGCTTATGAGAGTGGATTACGTCCAGGAATGTTGATCACTCATATCAACGATGAACCAGTACAGAGTCTGTTGTACACCAAAGTCATTCAAAACATTCTGAAAGGGGGAGATGTGGTCAGCATAAAGTGTATTCCAATGGAAAGTACGACAATTAAAAGGGGAGGAAGGCGCAGAGCACATCCTGGAAAAATGGTCCGAAAATCCAACAAGAAAAAAGGAGATGAAAAAATCAGAGAAAAAACAAAGGGAAGATCTATTCTAAGGAGGCTGAGTTCAAAATCTAAGAAAAGTGAATGGTCCACATCTCCTCTGATGGTGACAGGTCGATCCATTGGTAGTGGAGCTTTCAGTAAGTCTTGGACTTGTGGGGACAGCAGCAGTGGACAGCTTAAGGCCACAAAGTCTTTCCCTGGTGCCAATCCATGGTCACCCGATTCTTCATTTGGCAATTCCTCAAATAGCTCTCCCAATTCCAGTTCCCCCAATTCTCCTGCAAGTAATTCCACATTTGGCAGGCCAAGTTCGTTACACGGGTTACACCATAATAAGCGCACTCACAGCATCAAATCACCTCATCGTCGGAAGTCTGTTCACAACATCCCATTGTCTCCCCTGGCTCGTACCCCTTCCCCCTCACCCATGCCAACCTCTCCCAATCGCAGTCCCAGTCCCTTAGCATTTACGCAGAGCCAAGCCAGTGGCCATCAGATGGGAAGCTCCAATATGCCTCAGCAAACTTATCCTGCACATTTGAATTCCTCCCAGTCCCCCAATGCAAGCATTACCAGAAAAACCTCCTTTTCTCGACCAAAGAGTTGTGAGCCTGGTTCCCCCCTCTTAAGGCGTGCCCTATCACCAGACAGGCTTCACCCTCATTCTGCAGAAAAAGCTGCTGTTCAGAGGAAGGGGTCACTTCAGGAGAAAAAAAGTCATCTGTACGAGTCCATGTGATTGATAAGGCTGTTGTTTATACTGTACATAGTTAAAAGATCTTGTTAACTGCTTCTTTTACTCAGTGAGCACAAAGACGCTTTGAAATTCTCTAACCAACCCTTTATTGTGATATTATTGACCTGAATTGTTTTTGTGCAAGTGCTTGTTAATGATTAGTACTTCCCCCATATATTTTCATGTGTGACCAGCTTTTTTCTGTGATGACCCATGTAAGAAACCTCCCCATGCTCAAAACATGTGCTAAATCTGAGTTTACTGATTAGTAGAATGTGATATATTGTTTAACCATTGAGAAATGTTTGTTCACTTATTAATTCACTTGATTCAATTTATATGCATTCATATTCTCCAGTGCTAGAAATTTTGGGAAGAGTTTCATTGGGAAGGTTTAGCATTGCATACTTAAAAAAAAAAATAATTGCATCTATGGGATAAAATTTATCAGAACAATATTATTTGGCTGACAGATGACCAGAAAACAATCAAAATGAAAATGCATTGGTTTAAAATCATTGAAACATACTGTTTAGTCATAAACTATGAAAAATTTAAGGTAATTTTAATTGCATCATAGGTTTTTGGTTGTAAATGCTAGTTTACCAATTAATGAGTCTTTTGTAAGAAGTTAGAAATCTTTTAGAAAAATGGAACAAGCCTAATGGATGAATTGATCAGGATATTAATCGTGAACATACATAAACATTCAATCAGATTTTGTGTTGACTTACTGAACTGTGATTTATTGTTTAAATACTACTTGGTGCTTTCATGCAAATTACAAATTTGTTTTATCTTAACCCTCAGAGAAATTCTTGATAATAAATATTTTGCATTATTATAATGCTTTTCTTTTCAATACAATATGACCTATCATAAGAGATAGTGAGGATCTCATTCCAATTCCGTGTAGAATTTCTCTGAAGATTAAAGATTCTACTTTTGTTGTATAAATGTCTAAAGACGTAATAATGGCATTCAACCAATTCATACTTAACTCATTATGTGTAGTGTTATCAGAAAGTTTTTGTCTGTGACTGAAGGTAAATGTAAACATACTGCTTTGATGTGGATTTTTAATACATACAAAAAGAATTGATTTTTTGTTTAAAGTACATGTACATGCTTTTGAAGAAGGATTGAATTTATAAATTCTATAAACTCATTATTTCCATATGCTTATGAAGTAGTGCTAATTCATTTTTACTTGTATTCAGCAGACTTTCATTAAAGTGTAAAATTCACTAGAAATGTAAATATGAACACAACACAAAAGCAAATATGAAGATTATAAAATTCATTTTATCTGGAATTGAGATTTCTTCAACATATTGATTACATATCAAAAATTTCAGATTCTTGAATTTCATCTATAAGAAAAAAAACTTGTCGTTAAAGTCTTGCAGACAAATACAAGGTTTTCAGTTTGTCCATTGATCTCATGCACATGTATATAAGTATATATATATAATTAAATGTTATCCCACTGCCTGTACAAAAGATATAGTGTTGATGAATGACTAGTTTATTTGTATGTATAGAATTTGGATAAGTGATATTGCTGTTGTAATTATTTTGTTATACATATTATATTTCATGTTTTTTGCTACAATTTTATGAATATGTAGTTTGTGTTGACTATTTTTCATTGAAAGTTGTAAAGTTGGAGTTTTGCAAAATCTGTTTTTGCTTTTGAGTAGATCAAAAATTTAGATCATTTCCAATAAATATTTTATAGACTGAAGAATTCAAAATTTTGAGATTCAAGGTTTTTAAATGGAGTAAATACTACAATTTTTGGTACTTTTTAAGAAATAGTACAACATTTATACACAAGGGACAAATTCACTCAATTTTTTTTGGTAAAAGTGTAAACAGTAGTTCAGTGGTGTGCTTTGTTAACAATACTTGATGTTTAAAACATTGCATTGTAAAGCTGTACATAAGCATTGAAATCCTTTACAACTCGGTAAAAGAAACCATTTTTATCATATAATAAATTTATAAAATTGATCTAAAGGTGTTATTTTTTGCAATATATCTGTCAAAAGCAAAATGTTTGCCAAATGGAGACAGAACAAGATGTGTTTGTGAAACACTTTGCGCCCAGTGGCAACAAAATTCGAAAAAAAAATTTTTTTTAGCATATAGGTCACAGTAAAGGTCAGAAGATCATTGACCTTGGTGTCATTTGAAAGAAGTTTATAGTGGAGTATGCAAACCAAACATGAAGTCTGTCCTATGGTTCAAAAGTTACGGCAAAGGTTCAAAAAAAGCTATTTTTAGCATTTAGATCACAGTAAAGGTGACAAGGTCATTGACCTTAGTTTCATTTGGAAGAGGTGAATTATAGGAGTATGCATTTCAGATATGAAGTCTATCTCTCTAATGGTTCAAAAGTTATGGCGAAAGTTCGAAAAAGCTGTTTTTAGTATATAGGTCACAGTCTAAGTCACAAGGTCATTGACCTTGGTGTCATTCGAAAGAGATTAATTAGTGGAGTATGAATACCAAATATAAAGTCTCCATCTTTCACGGTTCAAAAAACAGACAAACAGACAGGACATAAACAATATATGCCCCGATCTATCGGTCCCGGCGCATCAAGATTATTCTGAATGACGTAATAAAATAAGCTATAACACTGCAGGAAAGTTCAAGTGAAGTCAAGTCACAGTCATTTAGGTTGATTAAACTTGGTGTATAAAATGGAATAATTAATTACACTGCATTTATATTTATTTAAACTGAATGCTTCTGATGCAAATGAAATGGAAAGGGTAAAAAGACGAACAGTAATACATCTCAATCTATAAACAACCCAAAGCTGTGAGGGTATATAAATATTCCAGAGATGGAATGAAGTGCCTAGGGGGTAGTAAGCATCCCCTGTAAATCGGTCACAACAGCTGTGTGAGCTCTATATATTGATCACGGAACATGGAATATTCCATAGTCAAACAAATTCATAACAATTGGTGCATGTGAAACAAGTCAGACAAAATAAAAGTAGACCCACTGATAGGTTATACAATTGTACAATTATTTGCTGCAAGAATAGTTTCTGAACTTGCAATGATTGCTTCAAGAAAATTCGAAATATGAAACAGCTGATGGGGTAGACTTTGATGCGTCTTTAAATATCAAGTTCACTGGAAGGAGATGGATGAACATGACGAGAGATATGCCCATAGCACGACAAACATGAAGGTGAAAAATTAAATCTCAATTTTATCAAAATTTTCCCTAATATTTTATCTAACATTAAAGTATACTTTATGTAAAATCTCTAAAACTTGCACAAATCTCATGAAAATTGAAGTTATTTGCCTATGAAATATTATACACACACGAAACAGGACAAAGCGAGTCATTTTTTCAGACTATAACATTATTTTTGGTTATGAGTGGGTCTTCTCTCCATTTTTTTGAAAGGTAATCCTCAAAGTTTGCATAAAAACATACATATTTTGGTTTCCAAAATTATGGAACAATCATCCACTATACCTTAAAAATATAAGTTTATGACATAACTTTCGTATCTTTTCGAGAAATACTTGAAGTCCCTTAAGGTACATCAATACTCTGATAAGAGAGATAACTCTCAATGATTAAATGTCTATTATTCCTTTATAAATCTGCAATGTTCAAGCAACTTTTTTTGTCCAATTTTGCCCCGCAAGCTATGCTATAATTGTTTGTATTTTAATTATAAAATACATTTCTTTTAGAAAATCATTAAGGTTCAAGCAACATTTTATATGAGTGAGCAGAGGGTTTATGAACCTTAAGTCAATGGTCATATCACACACATGATTAAATGCCACACTTCATCAGGACTTGTTAGCGTAGTGGTTAGCGTGATGGTCTCAATAGAGAATGCAACTCAGGATTTTTATTGCCAGGGTTCGAACCCAATGGAAACCACATTATTTTTCTTTATAAAAGAATAAATTTTAACGAAAAATTTTCCTCAAAACTTTTTGTTTATCATGATTTTACAAAAATCAATGATGAGAACTTTACTCTAAATACTAAATTAACAATTTGAATATGATTTTTATATACTGGTATCTGAAGCTTGTGGGTTTTTTGCACGCTAAGTTCACCCATCTCCTTTATCGAATCAACATACGAATGAAAGTAACCATTGTTATTTGAAATACATGAACATCGTTGATGACATTGCCAGAGAGTGATTTCTTCTCATGTACAAGTTTTTGAATAAATTCTGCTTTTTAAGATTTTAAAATTTGCAGTCTATTGACAAACAAGTTTATGGAACAAGAATATCAAGAGTTTCGACGGTTTCAAGCCGCTATTTCCAGAATTCTATAATAGTCGATACAAGACCTTGTCAAGAATTTCAATCTATCACTAAACTGAAAGCGAAGCTTGCTGGACTAAGTTTTATACACTTTTAAATTGTCTACGATTTTTTTTCGTTTGCCCGATCAAGACAAGGAACACATGGCAGGTCGACTGGTCGACAAGGGATGCCCACTCCTCAACGGCACCTGATTCCACTTCTGATGTTTTGGGGTTTTATTCTGTTCCTGATCTGTATCCTTTCAATGGACTTTTGAGCTTGAATACTGTTCGTTATCTTCATATTTAATTACATGTGTACCTTACGACAGATTGTATTGCAAACAAGGTTACAATTTGGGAAAATATTGATTTCAAACAAGATTTTAGGTAGTCTTTCATCATCAACTTTTATGACAGTAGTCTGCCTCGTTTTTAAACAGGTTTTACGAAGTACGTGCTCTTCTATGTCAAAAAACCCCATATTAAGAAGTTAAATGGTATACTGCTACATACAAGGGTGAGGTGGAAGTTATCACATAATCACATAGAAGTTGTTAGGTCATTAATGTCATTCTCTACTAAAATCTCCAAATATGCAGCAGGAGTTGTGTACACTTCAAACTCTTGATAGTCTTTTATCTTGAGTTAAGCGGGCTATATCACTCAGTCATCATTTGTTTATTGACAAAACGTCAAATATATATTAAACTAGTGCTAATTGTAACGGGGACCGTTACAGATGTTCCCCAAACGCTCCCCAACTCCCTTTTGGTGCCATATTCCCTGTTAGCTTCATTAAATAGGACAAAATCTATGCATTTTTGACTTTAACAACGCCAAGTTCATTCAAATTTTAGCATTGCACGTGTGCGCATGTGAATGCATGTGCGTAATGACCATATCATCTTGTTTAAACAATCTATATATTTTGATATACTAAATACATGTATTAAAGTATTTAATCCAAAAGTATAAAAAAAAATGCTCATTCAAGTGTATTTTTTATTTTACCCGTTTCACGTGCACGCACGTGCATACATGAGCATGGTGACTATACCTTCTTGTAGATGTCCGTTACATCTATCTATGTTCTAAATCCCACCCCGTTTGGTTGAAAACCAAGGGAGTTATAGCTGTTTAAAGTTTCAGCCAATCAGATTGCAGTGCACATACATGCACGTGTATGCATGTGTATGGTGACCATATTTTCTTGTAGCAGACCAGTATATCTATCTATGTTCCAAATCCCATCCTGTTTGGTTGAAAATCAAAGGAGTTATAGCTATTTAAATTTTAAGCCAATCAGATTGCAGCGAACGTGCATGCACGTGTTTTCATGATAATTGCTATATATCATGTTGTAGGATATTCCAATGCATGGCTATTTTCAAAATTTCAAAGGATTTCGTCAAAAAACAAGAAAGATATAGAGACTTTAGTTTCAGCCAATCAGAGCAAAGTGCACGTGCATGCGCGTGAGATCTTGCTCTTTTGACCATGTCATATTGTCTATGCTACTAATATATCCTTATGTTATAAGTTTCAAAGCATTTCATCGAAAATTTAAAAAGTTACGCCTATATCAATTAAATCGGTCATTTCACATGTTGCACGTGCACGCTCTTGCAAGCACGTGCACGCAAAATGACCTTTGTTCCGCAAATCTACATAACATGTCTACTGACCCTAAAAACATTTCACCTTAGTCGGATGTATAGTTTACGATATCATTCCCGGACAAAAAAGTACCCAGGAAGAAGAAGAAGAAGAAGAAGAAGAAAAATAATAATAACTAGTGCTAATTGTAACGGGGACCGTTACAGATGTTCCCCAAACGCTCCCCAACTCTCTTTTGGTGCCATATTCCCTGTAAGCTTCATTAAATAAGACAAACTCGATGCATTTGAAACTTTAACAACGTTTACCCAGAAGTGTACAAAGTTCATTCAAATTTTAGCATTGCACGCGTTTGCATGTGAATGCATGTGCGTAATGACCATATCATCTTGTCTACACAATCTATATATTTAAATATACTAAATATTAAAGTATTTAATCCAAAAGTATTAAAGAGATACGCTCATTCAAGTGTTATTTTGATTTTGCTCATTTCACATGCACGCACGTGCATACATGAGCATGGTAACCATATCTTCTTGTAGATGTCCGTTACATCTATCTATGTTCTAAATCTCACCCCGTTTGGTTGAAAACGAAGGGAGTTATAGCTGTTAAAGTTTCAGCCAATCAGATTGCAGCGCACGAAAATGCACGTGTGTGCATGTGCATGGTGACCATATTTTCTTGTAGTAGTCCAGTATATCTATCTATGTTCCAAATCCCATCCTGTTTGGTTGAAAATCAAGGGAGTTATAGCTATTTAAAGTTTAAGCCAATCAGATTGCAGCGCACGTGCATGCACGTGTTTTCATGATAATTGCTATATATCATGTTGTAGGATATACTAATGCATGGCTATTTTCAAAATTTCAAAGGATTTCGTCAAAAAACAAGAAAGATATTGAGACTATAGTTTCAGCCAATCAGAACGAAGCGCACGTGCATGCGCGTGAGATCTTGCTATTTTGACCATGTCATATTGTCTATGCCTCTAATATATCCTTATATTATAAGTTTCAAAGCATTTCATCAAAAATTTTAAAAGTTACGCCAATATCAATTAAATCGGTCATTTCACATGT